ACTGTTGACTATAACATCTTACTTTCTTGTCTTGAAACTTTGTTTGGAGTTTCTGACACTGCTCTCAAATGGTTAAAATCTTACCTCACTGATCGCTGTCACTTTGTCTCTCTTAATGGGTATAGGTCTGAAATTGGACTTGTTAAGTCTGGTGTTCTTCAGGGCTCAATACTGAGCCCCATGTTTCCACTTGGTCAGCTTTAAGAATCACATGGCCTCAACTATTATTTCTACGCTGACGATACTCAGATATACATCCATACCAAACCTGACACTGATGTGGCTGTCTCTATTCTATCTGATTGCATCTCTGACATAAAAATTTGAATGACTCAAAACTTCCTTCATCTTAACTGCGACAAGAATGAAATCATGCTTATTGGCACCCCCCATCAACTTCGTAAAGCCAATCCTGTAACCCTATCTGTAGATGGTTCTGTACTTGAGCTTCAATCTAAATTGAAAAACCTTGGGGTTATATTCGATTCTGGCTTAACATTCATCCCACATGTGCAGCATACTGTCAAAACGTCTTTTTTTCACCTCAAAAATATCACTAGACTATGCCCTATGCTATCACTAACTGTAGCTGAAAAGCTGATCAACACATTTGTGTTCTCTCAAAATGACTACTGTAATGCTCTATTCGCTGGAGTATCTAAATCTACTTTGAACAAACTGCAGTATGTCCAAAATTCAGCAGCAAGAATCCTGACTAGGTCTAGTGCAAATGATCACATTACTCCTATCCTGGAATCCTTGCACTGGCTTCCTGTCAAATTCCGTGTGGAATTTAAAATCCCCATGCTGACCTGTAAGGCCCTGCCATAGCTTGGCACCTCAGTACCTGTCTGAACTATTATCGCCCTACTCCCAACCTCGCAACCTTCGCTCTTCTAATTCTGATCTCCTAAGTGTCCCCCAAGCCCATCTACACTCTAGGGGTGACAGGGCCTTCTCCTGTTATGCCCCCAAGCTCTGGAACTCTCTCCCCAACGATATCAGAGAGTCACCTTCTCTAAACTCCTTTAAATCCAGACTCAAAACCTTTTTCTTTAGAAGAGCTTTACTTAACTGGTTCCATTCTTCACCCCTCTGCTTTTCTTAGTACCACCATTCATGGTCTCTTCTGTGTGTTGTAATTGTGCTTTGTCTTGTGTATTCTTTTAATTTATTGTTGTTGTCATTCTGTAAAGTGCTTTGAGAAGCCACCTTTAAAGGCGCTATATAAAATATAGTTAATTATTATATTATTACAAGAGGAACCTAGGTCTTCATCTTCAGTAACAAACACCTGCCTTGCGTGATCCGACAAAGTTGCAATTATCATCTCATGACTCCAGAACTCAGTAAGCAAAAGCACTTTTCATAACGCACCTGCACTTTAATAAGCCGGCACTCTCCAGCTACAGCATTGCAACTTCACTTTGGTACTCCTATGACAAACCCGGATACTTCACATAAAGTTTGCACAATAATTCAGAGAATGTGTATTTCGTGAGAGCAGGAAAAAAAAGCAAATATGCACTTGTGACACTCCTTTGAATAGAAATAATAGAATCAAAAGAGAATAATGACTAATATTGTAAGTAGTAATCAAGTTTTTAAAAAATGTTAATGCAGAATTCTACATGTATAGGGCATTTCATTGCACTTGTGCATATGACAAACTAAAGAGAACTGAACTGAATTCCGAATTGGAAGAAGGATTACCTTCAGAAGACCTACTGTAAGTAGTAAAATGTGCTTTACTGCAGAGATGTCTGGTTTAAAGGACACAGAGAATGCCGTAGTACTTCCAAGCAGAAACTTTTAAAATACTTTAGATTTCTAAACTTTAAAATCATTTAATTTTTTCGTTCCATGTGCCATTAAAAAATAAGACTAGCTAAATAAAGCTTGTACGACCAAAATCTTTATTCCACTATAGTGCTGAGCTCTGCAACGTTCTCCTGCACTTTCAGGTTTCTGGAGCTGCCTGGGCCTTCTTCTAGATGAGAACTACACACTGATCACATATAACTAGTGTTACTACTCATACTTTATCATGAGAATTAAACTTACAATCTAAACACACTTAATAAGCAGGCATGCTGTTCAAAAGTCAATGCTCATATAACAACAAAAGACTGTGATTAACATTATGGACATACTGTTTATCAATGTCATCTTCATCTAAGGGAAGTATTTGAACTGTTTTGATTAAATTATCAATTTTTTACTATGTTCGCAACTATTCCCCGTAGCAAAAGAAAACAGTTATGAGATTACGTCAATAGCTACAAGATATTTACAAAAACCCTTTGTGTACTGTAAATTGGAAATGATGTCATGCTTAAATACGGTAGCTCAGTATCACCATGACAACAGCTTTTAATAAAAAGTTTGACAAATGAAACAGAGTATAGAGGAAAAAAAAAGGAATAAGATGATAAAAGCCATCTTTTTAATGATGTTCCCTTTGTGCAGTACTGTATATTTCAGGTGAGGTGCACTTTTTTACTATTTTTTTTCTGAGAAAAAACAAACAGTACAGTTTGGCTTTGCTGTTAAATCACGCAACTTGAATTTAAAAACGGGTTAAAATGACCAATGAGCTCATACCCACAACTGGAACCTGTAATGCTTCATGCAACACAAAGCACAGAACTACCGTACAACAGATTTTGTGGATTTTGAACATCCACTTTCGTAAAGCCTTTGCTAATATTATAGTCTCCTATGTAAAACGCCTCGAAGCCTCTGGTACGAGCAGCTCGGTCTTAAATCTATTTCATCTCAGGCTCCAGTCTAAGACAACGTGTTACATTCAGTCTGGATCTATATCTGCATCAGGAGGAAAAAGGAAAAATTATTAAAGCATAAAAATATTTCTAGGAGACCCTTCATGTGTAGAGGTACCCCAAAGCATTGATTTGTTTGCTGGGAGAGTACGGGTTTGCTACCAATGACACATATATCAATCACAAGACAATAGATGCAGGCTGAAATAGAATAGAATGAGGCTTTGGGAATAATTACATAACATGTTAAACTTCTTAAAATGGACTGAGGAATATCAAAGCCTTTCTAATCTGTAAGATAATTAATGGCACTGTCATCTTCAAGACTTGCTTAGTATTGAGGGTAAATGTTTGCAGATTTTGGAACGATACAAATAAAAAAAAAATCTTCTGTGTAATAGGATGGAAAGTGATTACATACATTTCTTGGCAAATAAGGTTCAGTACTGTGAGTCTACCACAGAAAACATATAAAACTGATCTTGGAAAATGGGCTCATTTTGAGCAATGTCCTCTAGTTGTTAGTAATGCACAGTCCTCACTCTAAAACTGTTATTAACTGGCTAATGTTAATATTTAAGTTTATAATGTTATATATTTTATAAGTTTATATGATACAGCACTCATTAGCTCTTTGAGATTTAAAGCACGACAACTCCAATAATATCTGCAGTAGTATCACCTATATATACAGTGGAAGAAAAATCCTACAATTACTGAGAATCGTCACGAACAGCTAACTATAGTAAATTTGTACATCTGTTGCAATTACAGGGTTTGACTTCTGACAGACAGGAAGCACACAGTACAGAACTAGAAGGTTTGATCAATATGCCATTAAATAATTGTGGGTGTCCAAAGATAATGACATGACTTTGATGTAGATGAGATAATTATCTGTTGCCAACTGTCTGCTGAATCCTAAAGATATTTAAAAAACGTGATGAAATAAATTATTAAGATAAACATAATGCACTTTAAGTTTTCAACGACAGCAAATTGAGATGCTTCGGCTGTTACTCCGTGGTTAGAAGTACAATACGAGCAAAGTGATGTTTTAGTTTGATGATCCTCCATTATTACACTTGAGCAGCACTGTGTTAGGAACATAAAATAAAGCAAGAAGCACTTCGGAGTTCTGCCAGAACAGTTATTCTCAAACTTCAGTTACTTCTCCAGAAAGAAATGTTTATTGTTTTAAGGTTCTCCAGATGCAACACATCCAACACTTAATGCACAAACTTTTAAAAGTCTGTGTGTTTCAACAGCACAGATTGCAAAAATATATTTATAATGTTAACACTAAGACACAAAATTACACAAAACTCAGTAGTGTCGTGGGGAAATACTGCCATTCTTAAAACAAAGGAGGATCCTCAGTGCTTGTGTAGTGTTGTCATTAATCCAAAAAGAAGCATGTCCAGCAGCACAGGCAGCAATATAAAAACAGTGGCAGCTGACCAGTGTAAAAACGAGAAACAGCAGCTAAGAACTGACCTCTTCAAATTCAGCAGGGCCCACGGGACGCCAGTGGGGGTTTTGAAGGCTGGCAAAAGCTTCTCTCCGAGCTCCACTGCTTTCTTTCTGTACACCTAGGGAAGAAAAAAACATTTAAAAGATTTACAGTGCTCTTCTTAAGTACTGGGACAGCGAAGTGAAAATGCTATTTTTGCTTTCTACTCAAGCAATTCGGGTTTGAGATGAAAAGATGAATTAGAGAAGAAAGCACAGGATGTCACCTTTTATTTCTGGGAACTTCTGTATTTAGACAATATGTTGTACCATTTTAGAATAATAACACCAATTGTGTTCAGTGTAAGTATTGGGACAATGGGCTGGTCAGGGGTTTCCTGTGGCGTTGATTGGGCAACACAAAAGAGCTGTGAACATGTGGTGCTGGACTGAGCCTTTTCTGCTCCCCTCGGAGTCAACAGATCTAAACCAACATGAAGACTAGAGAACTGTCTCTGAAAGAAAAGCAAGCACTTTGGATGCTGAAAGAAAGGAAGAATTTGTTCAGAGCCATAGCACAAAAATGGGCAGCAAAATCAACAATCCTGATTATCTTGAAAAAGAAAGAAACCACTGGTGTACTTAGCAAATGGTAATGCCCAAGTCAGCAGAGGAAGACAACAGCAGATGATGACAGAAAAATGATCAGAGCTGTGAAGAAAAACTAAAACAGCTGTCTCTGAAATCACCTACAACCTCCACAGAACACGGGTGAAGGTATCACAATCTGCTGTTCGGAGGAGATATTGATGGCAGAATTGAAGAGGCTACACTGCAAGACACAGACAGGGTGGAGGCAGAGTCAGGGTTTGGGAGCGCCCCTGGGACCAGCTCACTCATCTTTATCGATGATGTAACTAATGACGGTGGCAGCAGAATGATTTTAAAACTGTAGGGAAACAGCTCGTCTGCCTGTGTGCAAGAAAAGACCACCAGACTCATTGTCCGGGGCTTCATCATGCAGCAAGACAATGACCCCAAGCACACTGCCAACGCAACCAAGGAGTTCATCGGGGGAAAGTGGAAAGTCTTAGACTGGCCAGGCCGATCTCCTGATTTAAATCCAATCAGACATGCATTTCACTTGCTGACGAGGAGCTTAAAGACAGAAACCGCCCAAAACAAACAGCCATTGAAAATGGCTGCAGCAGAGGCTTGGCAAAGAACAAGCCAAGCGCTTGAGTATACAGCAACAATTTTGTCTTCACTACCCCAACACCTATGGAGGGCACTGTATTTAACTTAATCTCTTTTAAAAAAAGCCACTTCAGAGACGCATCCTGAAGGCAAACGACAGGAGCTTTTTTAAATCTGAAATCCCTTAGCGATCCTTGGGATTACTTTCACCACAGCTGGTGTCACCTTAACTGTTCTGTGCACAGTGATGGCAGCTGTATTTGTGAATGATGTTTGCAGAATTCTGTGATGATAACTGAGATCCTGCAAAGCATAGATAAGATTGTATCTTTAAATACAGCCCAGGGAGTGTCCCGAGTTGTTTTGCATCCTGCATTTCATCAGCACACAAAATGGCTTTGACAACTTTAATCTCAGTTAACAGAAACTTTCAACATGTTTAATCAGAGAGAAGCTGTTATTACGCAAAGCGAAAGGAGGAGCAGACTGTCAAAAAGTTTTCCTCTAAGAAAAGAACATTTCATGTCAGAAACAAGATAAATGAGACCTACTTCTGTATGGACATCTTAAAATGTGATACTGCTTGATTTATTTGTCTCTGGTTTGACGTCTTACTCCCAAGTAAAAAACACACTGATCGTCGTTTTTAAATTTATTTACAATCTTTCGAAAAAAAGTCCTTACTCATTATCAAGGAAGTGCTGTTTGTTTAATGAAGAACTGTTTACTTGTGCTTTGTATGTGACCAGTGTTCTTGCAAAAGCATGTGCAATACATGTGCAATGAATTGTAGGGGGAGGTGCCAAGATTGTAGTGCTAGGAAAACATCTCTGAGGTATTTTTAACCATAAATACTTGAGAGTCACTCAGCTACAACCAAGCAATCACTTACTCATGTCATGAACAGGATAAAAATCAGGAAAATAACATTAACATACAAGACAGAAATGACTGCCTTCTAAAGATGTTTCTGTATTTTAAAAAGATGTCAGATACAAGCACTGTGCAAAAAAAAAAACTTCAAGATGAAACATTCACATACGGCATGTGAATTTGATGACTCATATATTAATGCTAGGTTTACTGTAAAAAATACAGAAAAGCTCTATTTGTGAGTATAGTCCCAAGAGGACACAAGCCTATAGTGTACCACAAAACACTTCTGAGAGAAACTGCAAGAATGTATAACTGGAGAAACAAATTAGACCACGTTCAGAAAATCCCATTTTTGGAATCGCTGCAGCACACTCCAATTTTAACTTGTAAGTGCTTAACTAAATGAGAAATCATAACTTCAGCTTAGCACGAAAGTTTAGAAAAAGAGCCCAGCTTTTCAGTTTCCAATTATTTAAAGAACAAGCAACACATATACATTCTGTAGAATAATAAGAGTTCATATCTTAAAGACGGTTGAAGATGTGAAAAAAAAAATAAAATTATTCTCAAAATACTTATTTCCAAATGAAGCAAATGATTAGACCATGATTTCTTTCGCTTCATCTTAATTAATATTATTCAGTCCAATCAGATGTATTCTAATGATACATCTCATGATACCCAGTGTTTGATTCTTAGATCCTACTACTTTCTTACAATCTGATACTCAGGTCACCTAATAATTCTAAGGTTACTAGGTAAGCTCATTCAGATCCTACACAAAATCTAAATGAAGCTCCCCAAACATTGTTTTTGTCTGTTTTGAACTAGGATTGCAAATCAAAACATTTCATAATTAATGCACATAATTAGGGTCTTTATTAAAGTTATAATGTCTTACAACTTTGTTAGCAACTGTACTTTCAAATTCGCCACAGCCAAATCCATTGCAATATATCATACATATTGTCCTGTGACACCTATAAGGGGTGGAGGTTTGAGAAAACAGCAGTGTTGAAGCATCTCGGATTCCATCCATGAATGCCCTTGATCCATCCTTCCAACATCAAGAAGCAATATTAGCAGATTAAATATGAGGCCCCAGTAAGGCACACCATCCGCTGGGGGGCACTGGGCTCAAGGCAGGGCATGTAGGGCAACTAAAAGAAGACAACTAACACGTCTCTTGACTGTGGGATTAAGCTGGATCTGCCAAAGACCTCAGAGGCCGCAGGGGAACATGTAAAAGCAGAAGGTACTGCAGAGCTGTGGGCTGTGAGGCAGCAGCTCTGACCTGCCACCCCGATGATACCATCACAAATCATGGCACAGGACCCTGACAAACTAGATCCTGCCTGCGTAAGATGTAGCGAATTCCTGAGGTTTGTTTTTATTCAATGTCTGGGGATAAAACAGGAGAATCTAACTGGTTAACAGCAACTAACTAAAGCAGAACACATTACATTCCCATTACTTTAAAAAAAACAACCAACTTGAATTACCAAGCTACAGTGTTTTTCCTATGAATATTCTTTCTTGGGAAGAATAAAAAATAAGTGAGGGCAGTTACAGTATATCAAGACAAATATGAACTGAAAAGTCATATGGTTTGGATCAGAGCAACTCACTCAACATGAATAGGAACATAAAATAAAATTTACAAACAAAAGGCATCTATTTCTACGTATATAGCCCATTTATAAATTAGTAGTTAATTGATCCAAGGATCTCATTAATCTATTTCTTGAAAGAAACCAAGGTATCGGCTTAACCAACATAGCTAGCAGCTTGTTCCATACTCCCACAAACCTTTGGGTAAAGAAGTGCCTCCTGTTCATGGACTGAAAATGCATGTCCAAGCAGTTTCCACATGTACCTCGGGTTCGTGTTTCACTGTTCATTTTGAAGAAGTCTGCTAGGTTGACTTTGTCAGTGCTTGATGATGATTGTATCATGTCCACTCGTAATCTTCTATATTCAAGACTAAAGGGTTCTGTTCGTTCAGCCTCTGAGTGTAGAACCTTCCCTTAAGCACTGGAATCCATCTGGTTGATCTCTGCACAGAATCTAGAGCAGCAATAGCTTTGGTGTCGTCATGACTGAACTGTACACATTCTTGAAAATGAGTCATTACTAGTGCATTACACAACTTTAATATTACATCCCTTGATTTAAATCCTATGCTTTAAATTATATATCCCAGCATTCTGATTCCCTTTCTAATCCCTTCTCCACATGGTCTATGAGTCGTAAATGTTATGAATATATGTCACCATAAACAATTAAGTCTTATTCATAAAGAGTATCTTCTGTGTCAGCTTTCAAATTTTGTATATATATATATTTGGTACTTGCATACAAAATAACCACAAAAAATGAAAAAATTTTTTGGAATACATGTAATATGCTCCTTCTGCAGTGTTTGCCAGTCCATCTGCACCCCTAACTAGTTGACTGACTTGTATAAGAGAAAGAGCAGTGGTCCCAGCACAGAAACCTGTGGCACTCCACTGATTACATCACCCCTTCACACCTGTGGCCCCTGAAGGCTGCTCTGTTACTGTGCTTCCATGTAACAAGTTCCTTTATTGCTAAATTGATCTGGCTAATTATCAATCAAATAATTTAGGAATTGGTTGTAGCAAAATCATATCATGGAGCAGACTAGAGGGGTTGAAGGTTGAATAGTTCTGATTTAGAGGATATCCAAAATCTAAATTGTAAAAAAAAAAAACAGAAGTTACCTAGGTGATTTTTTCATGTGCATTGCAAACAAACGTAAAATTACAAAGTCAAAATCCATTTAGAAAGAAAACAATACCTTATCCATAAACCCTTATTCCTGGCATACTATATTACTGAAGCTGTCAAAATAAGCAAGGCAAGAAGCCCTTTGTGTTACACTTGCAGATAGGACTGTACACAGCACTTAACAAGATGTATTGCTTTCTTTGCTGCCTGTGACTGGAGCTCCCAGCAGGACAGAATAGGAATTATTCTGCAAGCTTACGGAGAAGTGCCCAACACTGACAATACTCAGCGCGAAGCTCCCTATGGATGCTGCACA